CAGCTGGCAAACCAAAGAAATAAGTGTTTTTGTGACACAGAGGCTGTGCTCCTGCCATCCTCCCCACCTCCTGTGCCCCTCCTGTGTTTCCCCAGGTGGTTCCTGCTTCCTGAACATTCCCACATTAGGTGGAGCCTAATTCCAGTTTGATATAAACTGCATAAAAACCCAATTATTCTTACTCACATACACTGGTAAAATACATTTTGCTGCACTCCTAGCAAGCTAAATTGTGAGAACAAGACATGTTTCTATGTTGCCCTATTCAGAGGAATTTAAAAATATATATTTACAACGATACATGTGCCACTGAAAGTTAATTTGCAATGAATGCCACCATAAAGCTGCACGAGAAAATTTTGTGCAAATTCTGCCTTTTGTATTTTAGATTCTTAATCTAAAGCAGAATTCCTCATTCTAAAATGTATCTCTCTATTAAGAAAATTATGCAAATTAAATAAATAAATGAAAATACTTTGGGATCAGTAAAATTATTATTTAGTCCTATTAAAAATGATCTTTTAATTTGTTCTATTTGGTTTCTAAGACTACGTGATCACAGGTCACTTAGTAATCACGAAGTGAACAAATTGGCCTCCTGTTATTAAATCCAAGGTATCAAAGAAGTGTCATTGTGTTTACCACAGAAATATCAGAGACTATTTATTTCATGATGATGTAGAGTGTTCATACTCTTGTTAATCCCTTGAGCCCATTAGCAGCAAATATGGGAGGATGGACATTGATAAATAGTTGCTATTCTGAAGAGATTTACTCATTATTTTCTCTCATTGTCTTCACTAGAATTCCTGGGTAGATACGTTGTGAGGAGAGTGAGGAAAACTCACTTTTCAGTTCTTCAAGAAAAGTCCCTGGATTTCAGGAAAATGTTTCGTGACACAGTTACAATTTATAACCAAAAGTCAGAAAGCTTCAAGATGCAAAAATTTATTAGTGAACTGCTAATATTCTCCAAAAAGATTCTAATATTCTCCATCATTCTTCAGAAATACTCCTCTTTTTTGTGTGCAGCACTGTATTCTCATTTTTTGTGACTGATAGAGATATATAATAAGGGAAAATTGCAATTTTGTGACTTTTCTTCAGAAAGACAACATGCTGTAGTGTGTGCTGAGTGTTGAGACTACATATTGGGCAGACAGCAGTGAGTGCTTGTGGATGGCTTTTTTCTCTAAAAGATGATTTTTGGAGAAAGGGCACAAGCTGAAACCATTATAAAACAAAAGGATATGTATTTTTACAAAAGGGCTCATTCAAGGTGTAAACCACTGAAGCTTCATCTCTCTTCAGCAAACAGAATATTTTTATGTCATTTAAGTGTTTAAATTGTTTGGGAGCGAATAGCTTTTCCATGTGCTACTTTAATCCCTAAGCTTCTTCAGAAATTGAAATTATAGAGTTAACTATTTTGGGGAGCAGGATGTACAGCAAATAAAAGAGAAGAGGGGCAAGGGTGTGAGCAAATACCAGCTCTACTGTGGCATCTCATAGCAGGTCTGGGCTGCAGCCACTGCTTATCTTCTCAGAAATTAATTTGCCTATGCAGGAGTGGAGGAGAGAGGATAAGGACTGATAAATATCCCAGGAAATTTGACTTACAGGAAATGAAATTGTCATTTTACATTTCTGGTGCTCGTTCAGAGAGCAGTGGGATAGAGGGAAAAAAAAAAAAAAAGTATTTTTAGAGTTGTTCAAACTGACAGGTGTTTTTTTTTGTTTTTTTTTTTTAATCTGGAAGAACAAAGAGAACACATTGACGAGAGCACAGTACCAACTGCTGATTTTTCCAAAAACGAACTTACCTCCCACAAAGACCCCGTGGATGAATCCAGGAAAATGCCACGTGATATCTCTGCTCCACACTTGCCGCCACCGAGATAAGCTGTGTCTCCTCCAAGGTGTTGCAACATAACAGCTTCAAGAAAACCACCTCATTTTTCAAAAGTTTTATTGTTAAGTTTGAAGACTAGACAAGGTCGTACTGGTTTTACATCGCTCTACATGATTTAGGTATATACAAAACCATTTGAATATCACACAGCTTGAAAGGTTGCAAAGGTCGTTTGTGTCCGAGATACTTCTGTACTTACTGACACATCAGAAGCCAGCACTGAATATTATAGTTCACATTGGTTGTATAGCAAAGATACACTCATTTAGTATCCTTAGTCTTCAAAACTGACACTTAATTTGTGTGAAGCCATTCCAAAAGAGAAAGTCAACCTCGGATCCAGAGCCAGTTGAGGCAACTGAATGCCGGTAAAAAGGAGCCTCGTGCCAGTGCTTTATTTCCCAGGCTATAAATGTAGCATATTACCCAGCAACACAAAGGTGAAGCCTGCCTACAAATACTTGACTGGTTCAGGGTGAAATTTAATTAGGAGAACACTTTTGGCCTTGTTCAATGTCATTGTTAACAATTACTGCAGAAGGCAAGGATCATTTCCGAGCTTTTCTCCTGTCCCCTCTTTAAGGGACGTGTCCTGCACTTCTGGTTTTTTGGGGCTGGTTGCTTTCACTGGGAGAGAACAGTTGTGTTAATTTATAACTTGCCCCTTATGGCAATGGCATGCACCTAGACAACAAAATAAAATCAAAGGCAAAGAGTTTAATTCTATCTCCTAATCTGATTCCCACCTGTTTTGTTAAATCTGAAGGATTCCACTTAAACCAAGAGCTATTTCAGATACTGCTGACATTGGGACCCGAATTTGGTGCTGGAAATGCCATTCCAAGAAGGTTTTTTGGTAGCTGAGGAATAATGTCATTGGAAAAATTTCTAGCATGCAGGTTGAAATTGTAAGGGTGTCAGATATATGGTTTTTAATAAATTGTCATGGAGTATTGTCACCAGGTATGGAGCTGTCCTCGTGAAGACTCTGACAGCTGACCCAGGACATGAGGGTGAAAATACTCAACACAAAATTAATACCAAATTAAAATTATTGTGTTGCATTACAGAAAAACTCTGTAAGCAGATGAAGGGATTACAATTAATTTACTAAACCAAGAAATATTAATTTAAAAGCAAAACTGAAGTTGCAAAAGATGAACAACATGAAAAAAACCCCCAACATTAAGAACAGAAACCAAATATTTCAGAAGAAATTTAACATAAGTTTTTAAACTAGGAAGTCTAATTTTTTGAAATGGCCTTCTGTTTTTTGGATGCAGTCAGTTAGTGAAATATCTACATGCTATTCTTCATATCTGTAATTAAACTCAGGGCCAACTGCTTTCCCATAATAGGAAAATGTATTTAAACCTCTTAAAGTATTGTGTGTGCACACCCTAAAGAGATAAATATTACTAGTTTTTTTCATTTTCTATTTTCTTTTTGACCTAAAGCCCAAATTGCAAAATATAGGCAGTGGATAATGTAGGGATAGACTTGTCCTCCCTTATTCAGATTTTTTTCTCGCTAGAAGTACCACCAAATTGATTGACTTTCTCTTTAAAATTGCTCCTTTTTCTTGAAGACCACTCCATATATACATCATTAAGGAATGCTGTTAACACAGTTACAGACAAGACAGTAACAGTCTAGTGGCTTTTGTTATGCAGCACAAAGTAAAAAATAAAGAACAAACTTAGCAGTGTTGCACAGGACCTCAACATTTTCTTACACATACTTTTACCTTTACAGGACTCTTCTTTAGAAGTCTTTAAATGTCTAAGCCTTATAAAATAAATACTTGTATAAATACAGTTTAAGGATTAGGTCATTTTGTAGAGGCAGGGTGTTCTGTTTGCTAAAATGTGACAGTTTAAGTGACACTATCAGAAAACCGCCACCATTATATCCCCAATTCTTGTATGTAAAATTCCTGGCTGCTATTCTAGAGTCTTTCACAGTTCAATGGATAATATATATTTAGTCTGTGGTGGAGAATGTGTGATTAAATGCAGGTTTTTTCGAAATCCAAACCATTTTGTTTCCAAGGTAAACTTTGCCCTTTGCAGACTGTGGGCCAGCTAGCTGCTGGCCTGGGAAGCAGTGCCCAAGTTCAGAGTTTTGGTGAGAATGGAACAGTGACAGAAAGTGTAATAAGTTCAGTGACATTTGCTAAAACATGCAGCTGCATCTCTCTCTCTCTCTCTCTCTCTCTCTCTCATTCTCTCTTTCTCTCCACATCAGCATGTTATGAAATTAAAAGGTTGGCAGTAATCCCAAGTGCTGTTGTTTCAGGTCCCCTCACTCCCTGTGCTGGGATCTTTTTTAGTCTGAGGTGCTGCTCTAACCTAGTCACAGAGCACTTTAATCCAAGGGAACTTGGGTTGCTCTTCAAAGATTGGTATTGTCATCTCAATCAGCAGGGGAAACTGAGGCACAGGGGAGAATATTCCCCCTACTTCTCCACTTCTCCTCCTAAAATCTACTTTTTAAACTGGGGTTGCTATCATGCTGTGTGTGAAGCATTCCTGTAGATGGGGCATGATAGGAAACAGCCTCCTGGTGGCTCACTGGTGTGTGTCTGAAAAGAATTTTTAGGAGCAGTGGGTGACAAGGGCCAGGCTTTGGTGTGCTCCTACGTCACCTCTTACCTTTTGGGGAGGAAAGCTGTGACTTTAGGAAGAGCCTAAAGAGGGAGGGTTTCCTGGCAGTAGGGGAGTGATCCCTCCTATGTGTCTTTTAGCACCTGGTTCCTTCACCCCACATTTTCCTCCTCACTGGAATTCAGAGCGTTTGTGAAAGTATTGATGGGGTGGGCAGGTCACAGTTTGGGGCTGTGTGCTCACCCCTGGGAAAATCATCCTGGAATGGGATTTCTGATGGAATACGTGAGTACCCAAGATGAGACACCACAAGTGCCCTGGTGCCTCACCTTAGTCTCCATGAAAAAGCACAGAAACTTTGAAAATTCATAAACTTTGGCAAATTCATTAACTTCATAATACACTGATTTGGTTACATACTCAAAACAGGTGACATCTTTCAAGGAAAACAACACCAGCACAGTGTGATACTAAACAGAAAAGATGGAGGCCGTGTCTACAGCATGCAAAATAGAGAAGGAAAATGGGGCAGTTAGGAAAACCCTTCAGGTGCGTGGACTCTGCTGTCTGGATGAAAGTGGTGAAAGGTAGCTCATAACACCACAGGTACCGTGTTTTAACAGTACCAGGGAGAATTTCCCAAAATATATGTCGTAAGAACTGACAGTGTGTTTGATAGGCACAATTACTATAATGCAGTCATCCCCAAGTAAACTTATTGCTAAAAGCTGCAGTATCACTTTTTGCAAGTAAGGTGATGGTATGGGTTATGGAGAACTCATCAGCCCAATGTTCCTGAAGCCACAAATGAGCTTCACACTGTTTCTCTTCCCTTGTAAAAAGGATGCTGCTGTTTTTTTTCTTTTTTCTCTTTTTCCCTCAACGCGTTTCAACTGGTGGTGAACAACTCAAGGGAGAACTAGGAGGATAATTCCACAGCAGAAGGGACAACACCAACAGATTTTCAAGGGCAAAAAAACCGGATCGGATCGTTTTAAAAGGGCAGGCTTAGACCTCCTGGCGAAAGACAGCTAGCGGCCTACCATAAAAATGAGCGAGCACTGGTTCATGGAAAAACCCCACTCAGCATCCTACAAGCTTCTTCTACAGCAGGAATGGGGTGGGCTCAGTCCTCAGCTGCACAGCCCAGCAGCTCGGACCGCAGGGTGATGCGGCCGTACCACGACCAGGGCAGGATGCGCACGTGCCGGGCGTAGATCGGCGGCTCGATGACGTTCTTGCGGTGCGTGTCGTTGTCAAAGTTCCCCTGGAACACCTGCGGGGAAGCAAACGGGGGAGGTTTTAATGGAAGTTCCCCTGGAACGCCAGCAGGTGTGGCATTCACATTCCCCGAACGTGATTTCTTCGCCCGGGGGTTTTCTCCTGGGAAGCTGAAGGGCAGCGAGAGGCCTCAGAGAAAAGGAAAACAATTCTTATCTCGTTTGCTTCTCCTGTGTTGTGCTCATGTGGAATGTGTTTGAACATAGTTTACCCACAAGTCATTGCTTAATTGGGCTCCGATGTGAGTTGTTTTGACTCATTGGCCAGTTGGGGCCAAGCTGTGTCAGACTCTGGAGAGAGTCACGAGTTTTCATTATTATCTTTCTAGCCTTCTGTCTGTATCCTTTCTGTATTCTTTAGTATAGAATAGTATCCTTAATATAATATAGTATAATAAAGTAATACATTAGCTTTCTGAGAACATGGAGTCAGATGTATCATTCTCTCCCCTGGTCGGAGTTGCCTGCATTTACAATATGCAGGGAGGTTTTCAGGCTGACCCAGCCCACAGTGAAACTGGATCTGGATCCACGATGGATTTTTTGTCGTTGGGATGCGCAACTTTTAACGCTGTTTAAACTTAAGGTATACAGTGGCAAAGAGAAGGTTGGGATTAGTTTTTAGGAAGGAATCCTTCAATCTGAGGGTGGGCAGGCCCTGGCACAGGGTGCCCAGAGCAGCTGGGGCTGCCCCTGGATCCCTGGCAGTGCCCAAGGCCAGGCTGGACACCGGGGCTGGGAGCACCTGGGACAGTGGAAGGTGACCCTGCCATGGCTGGGCTGGCACTGGATGAAATTAAAGGTGCCTCCCAACCCAAATCTATGATTCCATGAGTCCCTGCCTCTGCTAAATCTTGTGATTCATTCACACTCAGCCCTGGTGCAGGCAGAGCCTTCTACTCAAAGCTTCAGCCTCTGTTCCACCAGGGCCACGCTCTGAAAGTTGCACAAAAATCATTAACATTTAAAAAATTAAATGTCTTTTTACTTGGCATTTGTACCATCTCAAATTAATCCCAGGAGATCCTGTTACTGCTTCCGAGGAAATAACATTAATAATTAAAGTTAAGAATTTTTATTGTATCACTTATGAAAGTTGCTGGGATGCAACTATATAAACCTTTGTTAAAGCGGTGATTATCAAGGATGTTATCTTCTCATGTCAGACAAAAGTCAGCAGATGAATTAAGAGCATCAGGCTGTGATAAAAGTAAAACATCTTAGCTCTGTTCAGTGCATGTTATGATCTTATTTCTACCTGTATTGGTTAATCCACACAAAAGTGAGTTATAAAACTCATATCTGTGATAAATCAGTACCAGATTTTTCCCCTGCCAGCCACTATTTAAATTCAAAGGCCACAGCACCAATTTTTGGCAAAATGATCAGATTATCCCCTTGGGTTATTTTCAGTTTTTATGGGAAATGTTCATTCTCTTAAAATGCCAGCCAATTCACTTCTCATTTGTAAAAACTGAACCTGATGGCTTTTCGACTTAAAATGAATGACTGTTGTTTGCATCATGCAGAGAAGAATATAGACATCCTGGAGAAGTGCTTATGTGACTGAATTAATGCAGAATTACAGGTTTCCTAGAAGTTCTTGGGAAAATATCAGAATTTGAAGTGCAAGCTGGCTGATCTAGCATTTCAGCCCCGATTCTGGTTCCTTTGTGACATGTGCACAAAGATTTTGGTCTCTGTGCTGAACCTCTTCGGATTTTGGAAGTTTCTCTCCAGTGCTGTCCTTTCAGGACATCAAACAAAATCCATCCCCTCCCCAGGTGATGCTCTTTTACAAGTGATGAATTCTCCTTCTTGTCTGCAATCACAGAAGTGGGAGCATGAAAGGATGTGGGAGTTCTGATAGATGGATAAAGCAGCAGAGAAAATGACCACAGAATCATCAGTTTTGTGAGTCTAAGGAAAAAAAAAAAACACCCCAACAACCAAAATAATTTAGCACAGGGAAAATTGTTTGCTGCCCAAGTACAGTGTTGATACATAGATCAGCAGGAGCTTGGGCTAACAAGGTTTGCACCTCAAGTCCAGTTTCATTTGTAGCAAAAATTTACATTACTAAGTTCATAATAGAAATTACAGTGGCACCTTCCAAAAGCCAAAATGTAGCTAGGAAAGCTTAAAAGTGTTTTTTGTTTCTTGGGTTTTTAAAAAACTTTTTAAAATTTGATTTCTTGCACATGCATGTGAAATATCTTTTTATATTTTTGCCAGGCTAGACAAAGGAAACTTTACAGCCCCAGTGTTCATATCTGAATATGAAATATTCAGATATGAATATTTATCTTTCAGATACGAAAGATAAATAAAATTATGTGATGCAAAACCAGCAACAAACACCGCTGAAGGAGGGAGGATTATGTAATTTACTTACAGCATGAGAACACAAATTAAATATTATTTTTAACTTATGCATGATTTCATTATCACTTGACATCTAACTCATCTGTCTCAGAGGTTATTTTATGCAAATACGAAATACACCTTCCCTCAAAATTCAAGAATTAGTTTCAAAAAATTAACTAAATGTGCTAGGTCAGAAGAAGGATTTTAGGGAAATAAATTTATCCGAAAGTAAGGGAAGTATTGTCAGCATCCACAAGTGTGACCTGCATAAAATATAACATTCTAACAGAAATTTACTGTTCTTTTCCTGTGGCCCCATGGCACATTTCTTACGGGAAAAACTATATCCTTTCCCCCTCTTCATTTACTTTTAGCCTCAATTCACTAATAGAGTCAAGGAATTTGGGAGGAGCAGGGAGGACAAAGAACAAAACATTACTTATCAGTGGAAAAAAAGCTATTTCTGTAGCTCAAAGTAATTTTTTAAATCTACATGTTGTTTTATGCCCAACCAGTCAATACTAAATGAGCCACCAAAGTAATTAAAACCCTTGAAAAGCTGATGCCTCTCAATGACCACTCCTCACATTTGTTCCCGAGAAGTTTTTTTTCAGGATAGCTCTGAAGACTGCCATTACTTTTTAAGATTTCTGAGGCTGCTGTTGTAATTACAACATAATGCTCTATGTAAAAAAAAAAAAAAAAAAAAAAACACCAAAAAAAAAAAAACCCCGAGGGTT